TACTCCGTTACAATCTATAATGAATGCGACGACGAGGCTCATCTTCCTGTCTGCCCGCACCTCCCACCTCCCTCTGGCAGTCCCTCTATTGGCTTCCCGTAAGATATAGGGCTCAATTTAGGATCCTGGTACTTGCTTACAAATCTATAAACAATGCTGCTCTGACCTACCTATACTCACTAATATAATATTATGTCTGTTCTAAGCACCTACTCTCTGCTGAAGACCAACATATAACCTTTGTTCGTACTCCTACCTCTGATGCTCACCCACTCCTTCAAAAAATCTTTGAAAACGTACTTCTTCAGGATAGCATATCAATTAAATTGTCAACAGCTTTCCCTCCCCGCACCCTGATTCCTCTCCTGCAACTGTCACCAAAACAAAATACTAAGCCATCAGTGAATACTATCCTAGTAACCTACTTTACTACCCTACCATTACCTTTTGTGTCACAATACCCCAGCCCCCCTGGCATGTAAACTCATTGAGCAGGGCCCTCAACCCCTCTGTTCTTGTGTGTCCAACTCATTTGGTTACAAATACGTGTCTATTAGTCCACCCATTGTACAGCACTGCGGAATTTGTTGACTCTTGTCAAATATGTAAAGCCCATATAGAAGGCATGGTACAATTTGGCCTGGAACATAGATTTTGTAGAGCAGTTTTCTAGCAATTGCAACCAGGACTAGTGATAATTTGGGGAACATAAGTGGAGGATTGGGGCAAAACCCAGGATCGCCGTCTCTGGAGACAGTGGGAAAACGATGCGTAAAGACTGTGTGGCATGTGTCTTTGGGGAGTTCCAATAGTTTTCAAAGCAGTGGGCCACAGTGGATAAGGTCTACCTCTAACTGATTAAATTTTTAGCCAATTTTAGCATATTTTTAAATGATATTGTTAAATTATATTGTTTGTCCGAGGGTAGGCAGGCTTGATGGAGAATGGTTAAATGCATCTCCAGGTTTGTTGAAGCTGGCAACAGTTTGTCGATTTTGGACCAAGTTGTGAGCAGGTTGTCTATGTCTAAAATTGGAAAATGAGTAAGCCATTTCTCAAGGCCCGAGTCTGAGGGGGTATTTTCACTGTGTGGTCTGAGCAATGCATAAAGCTGGTTCATAGAGTAAGATTTATTTTGGGAGAGTAATGTCAAGGTGTCTAAAGGTGTCTGAGTCTGTCTAGTGTAAGAGTATAGTGTTGAGAAATCTTTGTATGTTTGAAGGTATGCATAGAAGGGCATGGGAATTAGAGGGTATGTGTTTTTGAGGGAAGTATTTTGGGACAATGGGAATTTATGGAGTCATCAGTATATAGCGGATCCCTCGTGAACCAAGTTGTGATAGAATGGACAGCCCTGCTCTCTCCCATCCTGAAAAAAAGGATAGCTACAATTGTCATGAAGCAACTAAGCTGCCAGTTGAGTCCTGCTCGATAGGGATGTGCATGGGCAAAAATGTTGGTTCGGAAATTGGGGTAAGTAAAAAAATTGGTCTGCTTCGGCAATTCAGACCAATGGCATTCAATTCGGTTTGGCACTCCAGAGCTGCCATACGTCATAATTTCGGAACTTTGGCACTTCGGACATTTGTAATCGTCCGAATGGCATGAAATTCGTACAAATGTACATTTGGAACGAAACGAATTGCACATATCCTATATAATAATTGGCTAAGGATGTTTGTCCGATCCAGTCATGTGCATTAGAGACTGCGCAAGACTGCATGGGATAAACATCCCATGCCAGGCGGCAAGGGAGCAAAGTACTCACTGTGCTCCTGCAGCACAGCTCCCTGGCAGCCGCGATGTGATGCGTACAGGATATGATGTCATTGCACAAAAGGAATTAGCTTATTGGTCAAGATTCCTGCCATCATTCACATAATTTTCCCTCCGTCTCTCTTGTTTTGCCACTTTTCAGAATTCCAAATCACTTCGGCACTTCCGCACTTTGGCGCTTCGCCGCTTCCGAACTACCGAACTTATCACTTCGGAACTTCAGACATGTCTACTGCTCGAGATACCTTTAAAAAAGTTCTAATGCTTTCTTGCAAAGCAGACTATTCAGGCTACAGTAGTTTATAAACAAGGTATTAACATTTTGCTCTCATTTGCAGACCAGAGACTAGCATCTGCTCAGAAGTGGAATATGAGTGACCATTAAGTTATGAATTCAATTTGCAAATGCAAAGTGGAGCACGTTGGTATGTATTTTGAATTTTTGTTTTTAAAAGACTCCTCTTTAGGGATAAAATGCCCCCTTGAGACCACTCTTGCATTTGTAAATACTGAAAATAAGAGAAAACAGGCACTTTCACATTCCATTTGACAGGTCATTTTCTAATCATGTCATTTTAAACATAATGGATTTTTTTAATGGATTTTTGGAAAAGTACATTTAAAAAAAAGTATATATTCATATTATATTTTATAACACCAGTTCCTTTCTTTATAAAACCGAAGCTTGAAAAAAAAAAAATATTCATTCACCTTCAATGCAGAACATGACACTACCAGCAACTATTGCTAAACTGTGAATATATAGTAATTTGTAGCCATATAATGTGTGAGTATAAATGCAATCTGACTGTGTCTTGACTTTACATTCTGTAGTGCTCATTGACTCCTGATGTGTTTATGAAGCTCACATTTCCCATTTATGCTTTAATGGTGCTATCAAACCGCAAACATGGTATAGTTTCCAAAACCGAAAGAGGACTGGTACTCAGGGGCGGATCTAGACTTTGTGAGGCCTTAGGCGAAACTCAAACATGAGGACCCCACTAACAATCCAAGTGAAAAAAATAGGGGTTGCATTGTGTGTGTAGAAGAAGCGGTAGTTATATTGCAGAGCGGACTTGCAGCACTGAATACAGAGAGCTACTTATGGCATAATTTGCAAACAAAATTAATTTACAATAAACAAATATAATGTGCAATTATTCTAATCGTTTCTACACGATTGTGTGGTATGGATGCATATCCTGGCAGTCGTGTATACATAAGTGCCGGTGTGAACGGGTTATTGAAAAAAAGGTTTTAAAAAAGAATTCACCACATAATAAAGTTACAAATAAGAAAACAGTCTCATAGACATTTTCCCCACATATTCTATAATCCCTTATATTTATTGTTTCACTTTACCCATACCACCCTCACATTGCAGTCATAGACACAAACATACAAATACATGCACACTCTCTGTTATTGTATATGTATGCAGGCCCGGACTGGCCATCGGGCACACCGGGCAAATGCCCGGTGGGCCGCGGTGGCCGTGGCCGGCAGGGGATGACTCAGGATCTCCCCTGCCGGTCTATGCAGGGCCGGCACTCTCCTAGCGCCACATGCGGCCGCCGGCGGGGAGAGAGGGAGGGAGCCAGCCAGGCTGGAGAGAGGACCCGGCGGAGCTCTAACTTGCAGCTCCGCCGGGTTCCTCTCGCGAGATCCGGCACGTTGCGATGGCAACGACCGGATCTCGCGACAGTGAACTCTAGCCTCACAGGCTATGCGGGCTAGAGTTCACTCACCCACGAGGACCACCAGGGAACACCTCCACCCCGCCTCCCAGCGTGCCGGACCCCCCCCCCAGGCTAAAGGTAAGAAGGGGAGGGAGGAAGGGGGAGCATGTTTATTTTTATTTACCCCCACACACACACAATAACATTTATACAGCACTCTCACACCCATCACACACAGCACTCTCCACACCCACATTACACACAACAACACTCTCTCACACAGCACTCTCACACCCATCACACAGCACTCTCTCACCCAGCACTCTCACACCCATCACACACAGCACTCTCACACCCATCACACACAGCACTCTCTGACACAGCACTCTCTCACACAGCACTCTCACACCCATCACACACAGCACTCTCACACCCATCACACTCACAGAGCACTCTCACACACACACAGCACTCTCACACCCATCACTCACACACGGCACTCTCACACACATCACACACACCGCACCCCTCACACACACACGGCACTCTCACACACACCGCACCCCTCACACACACACCGCACCCTCACACACACACATACTGCACCCCTCACATGCACACAGAACCCCCCCAACACACTGCACCACACACATACACAATACTTCCAAATATATATAATATACACACTACACTCTTAAAGGACCACTCTAGCCACCCAGACCACTTCAGCTTAATGAAGTTGTCTTGGTGCCAGGTCCTTCTAGGGTTAACCCATTGTTTTATAAACATAGCAGTTTCAGAGAAACTGCTATGTTTATCAATGGGTTAAGCCTTCCCCCAAAGCCTCTAGCAGCTGTCTCATTGACAGCCGCTAGAGGCGCTTTCGTGCTTTTCACTGTGAAAATCACAGTGAGAGCACGCAAGCGTCCATAGGAAAGCATTATAAATGCTTTCCTATGCGACCGGCTGAACGCGCGCGCACATTCAGCCGACGGGGCGGATCGGAGGAGGAGAGCTCCCCGCCCGGCGCTGGAAAAAGGTAAGTTTTAACCCCTTTCCAGAGCCTGGCGGGAGGGGGTCCCTGAGCCACATATGCATCACATTACAACACGACTAAAACTGACCTTATTACACAATACCACACCATGACCAGCTCACTCTACACACACACAATACCACAAGCAGGCTCCAAACACATGCACAATACTCTTTCCTGGCCTTTTGTCTCCTGGTATCCATTTATAGAGACACCAGAGACAAGTTGCTAGGAAACACAGTGCAAGCATGTTATTAAATTTGCTTGCACTGTGCAGAACAAATACAGGACTTTTTTCTCATGCTAGAGCTCTTCAGCAGAGCTCTGCGCATGGTCTGCCCTGGAAGAGCATTAAACCAACATGCTCACTTTGAGAGGAGGCGTGTTTGTCATTGGTGATGACAAAACACACCTCCTCTGCCCCGCCCCCTTTTTAGTGGGCCGCTGTGTTAAAAAAATGCCCTGGCCGAATTTTTCTCCCAGTCCGGCCCTGTATGTGTGTGTGTGTGTGTGTGTGTGTGTGTGTGTGTGTGTGTGTGAATATATATATATATATATATATATATATATATATACACACACATATACATAAACACACAAACACATGCAGAATGTGTGCATGTGTATAAAGTATGTTTGTGTCTATAGCTGCAATGTGAGGGTAGTATGGGCAATGCAAAGGTAAAGTGATACAGAATGAGTGATGGTCAGTATGACTGGGGTTGGGGGTTAATGTGACATGTGAGCGTGGCATGGTTGGGGGTTGTATCACATGGTTGGGGTGAATGTGGCATGGTTGAAGGAGGAAATGTGACAGAACAAGGGGAGGTGAGTAATAGAATTAAAGGGGGTTAAAGTGACAGGATGAGTGTAGCATGATTGAGGAGGTAAGTATCATAGGGTTGGGGTGAGTGTGAAATGGTTGGAGGAGGGAGAGCAACAGGGCGAGGGGAGGTGAATGTGACAGGATTAAGGGGAGTTAACGTGACAGGGTGAGTGTGACAGGGTTGGGGGGGAGAAAGAGTGGCAGGATTGAGGATGAGTGTGGCACGCTTCGAGGTCAGGATTGGAGGGATTAATGTGATGGGTTGAGTGTGGCATGGTGATATATGATGAGTGTAACAGGGTTGGGTGTGACTGTTAATGCGAGAGAGGGTGAGTGTTACAGGATTTAGGGGGTTAAATGTGATAGGGTGAGTGTGGTGGAGCGAGGGGAGGCGAGTTTGGTGTGGTTGTGCCAGAGGGGGTGACATGGTGTGGAGGAGGGGGGTGACATGGTGTGGAGGAGGGGGGGGTGACATGGTGGAAAGGAGGGGGGTGACATGGTTGAAAAAGGGCGTGACGCAGGGAAGGAGGAGCCGTGACATGGGGAAGGATGGGGGTGACATGATGGGAAGGATGGGAATGGGGATGACATGATGGGAAGGAGGAGCGGTGGGAAGGAGGGGCGGTGACATGGTAGAAAGGAGGGGCGGTGATATGGTGACATGGTGGGAAGGATGGGGGTGATATGGTGGGAAAGAGGGGGTGATATGGTGTGAAGTATGGGAGTGACATGGTGTGGAAGCGGGGGGGTGCCATGGTGGGAAGGAGGGGCGGTGACATGGTGGGAAGGATGGGGCGGTGACATGGTGGGAAGGATGGGGCGGTGACATGGTGGGAAGGATGGGGGTGACATGGTGGGAAGGATGGGGGTGACATGGTGGGAAGGATGGGGGTGAAATGGTGGGAAGGATGGGGGTGAAATGGTGGGAAGGATGGGAGTGGCATGGTGGGAAGGATGGGAGTGACATGGTGTGGAAGGGGGGGTGACAAGGTTGGTCAGAAGGTGGGGTGACATGATGGGAAGGAGGGGGGGTTACATGATGGGAAGGAGGGAGGGTGTGACATGATGGAAAGAAGGGCGGTAGCATGTTGGGAAGGATGGGGGTGACATAATGGGAAGGAGGGGGATGACATGATGGGAAGGAGGGGGTGTGTGACATGGTGTGGGGAGGCTGTGCCTTCAAATACCTTGTGACAAACTGCCTATTGTCACTAGCTGTTTATGTGACCCACTGCACTTTGCCCCTGGGATTTGGAGGAGCCTGATTGCCAGCCTCCTACCTTATGACTATGGCCCCTGGGAGATTGGGCACTTTAAAAACAATATTTGGGCATAATGGCTTTTTATTGTTCTGCTGCTGGCCCTTCAACTCCCAAAGAATGGATTTGTACTTTTAAACTAGCACTTCGGATACAGTCGAAGTGCCGAAGTAGTCGAAGTGGCCGCCATTCGAAAATCGAACACGTGGCGGCGGCCATTTTAACTCATTCGAACACGGTCAGCGGTGTGTGCAACCAAATCTATGGAACTGTTTTCGGCTACCCAATTGCACGAACACCGCTGACCTGTACCTTCACCTCCGCTTCGACACTGCGGCTGATGACAAAGTCCCGTTCGAAGATTCGAACGCTTGTTCGAATGGGACTTAGTCATTTTCTCAGTGTAAATTAGGCCGACCACACAGCCCAAATACATGGAACTGTTTTGGGCATGAAAATGTGCTTTCGGTCGGTCACAAAAGACTTCCAGCTAACTTTTGAAATACTGGGTGGAATTGTCTGATTTTTGGTTATGTTTATATTTAAAGTATGCTGATTCTGAATATGTACTTTTATGTGAATATGATGCATATTTTTATAGTTACAGTACATGTGTAAAAACTGTATTTCTCTGCTGGTGATAATTACATTAACCCATTGTGTAAAGTAATTGTATCACAGGCAGAGGGGAGGATTTTGTGTGAGAGTGTCTGTGTGTATTGTACGTATTTATCGGTTGTTCTACAAAACCCTGTGGGTGGGACTGTATGTGTAAAACCTGCATAAAAGAAAGTCCTTTGGTGCCAATAAAAGCAGATCATCTTGTACCTTCATGAAGTTTCAGCTCATGTTTGGGGGATTGGAGAACTACACTCTGGGGATTGCTATAATCACTACACTCCCCAGGGTATAATCACTAAGCTCTGCTAAGAGCATGTTCCTGTTCCTGCTCTCTGGAATTCGGAGAGGTCGACCTACTGGAAGCTAAACCCTGGTCTTGGGTCCAGAGTGGGTGGAGACGGCGAGACCCCAACCAAGCTGTGCCGGTTCGTGGGAGTCTACAGTGGTTATGGTGTCTGGCGGAGTGCTTGGAGTCCTCGGGAAGCACTAGGAGCATCCATCAACGGTAGGTACCCAGTCGGGGTGCAAGCGGTTCCGTTACATACCTTTTTTTTCTTTTAATAAACAAGGCAACTCTCTGATTGGCCAGATTTCGCGAGACACTTCACAGTCTGCAGCTCTGCACCCGGCGGAGCTCCGGCATTTAACCGTATTGTAAGCTCCCTGCACGAGCTCCAGAGTGCCCCGTGGCCCTTAATGTACGACATACCTGCGTCAGCGACCTACCGAAACAAGCTGAAACTTTTCTGGAAGCGGCTCCCTCTGCAAACATTGGAGAGGCGAGTGAGGCCTGGTGAGCCCGTCGGACAGGCGAGACGGCTGCTTACCTGTACTGTGCGGCACTGGGCGTCCGCAGGGCAAACCACAGCTCCGTTCCCCCTCCCTTTGGACCGGCGGGGGATATCCCGGTCCACACTGGCTGGCCTGCTACACCAACGAGCCTCAGACCATGACTCACTCAACCAAGATGGCGGTGGCCTTAGGAGTCGGAGGGGCACAGACCATGCGGTGCGGGAAGCGGCAGCAAGACCACACTTACAGATCCCTGCATCGACGAGATGTACCCGGTCAGCGATTATGTGCAACCTTAAAGGCAAGACAGGGGTATGTTACACCCTGACATCACACACAGAAGCCCAGATGCAGAGTGGGTGGAGGAGGTGGCGGGAAGCCTCTGGGCACCCTATCGAAGCACGCACGAATACTCCCACATTCTGGCCCACCTAGGCCGCAGGCTACAGAAGGCAAGACCCCAGCGCATCGTCCACACAGGCAGAGGACCGCCCGCAGCCAGCGGAGGCACAACATCAGGTCCGCCTGTCCCCCTAACAAAGGGCAGGACTTGGACTCTTTGAGGCACCAAGATCGTGGATCCAAGATACTGGCCTGAAACCCGGCCTGGGGCAGGAGGCACATCCCCCACAATGCTCAAACTACAAAAGCCTGGGACTCCCCCTAGGACCCGCACCCCGAGCAACCTGCTGACCTGAATAGGCTGAATGCATAATCTGGGACTGTAACGTACCCTAACGCTGACAAAATATGCCTGATACCGCTTCCCATATACCGGGCCAATGGCAAATCTAATCTTAATGGGTGATGCTGCTTTTATGTTTGTTTTGTTTATTTTCAAGTCACCAATATTCCAGCTAAAGTATAGCATAAAATGCAACTACTCATGTATAGCTCAGGCAGACAAAAGAAATGTATAACCACCTCATAAGTCAGCTAATATGATCCCAACTACTAGTACTCATTAATTACTCTGTTGGAACTGTCATACCTAGCCTGTGTTAACATACATACTTGCCGTAGTTTATTAGAGTATTACAAGCCTCTCCGCTTAAACAAAAATTGTTTATGTATTCTTATCTACCCCTTTGTTACTTTTGTCTCAACACTGCATGAGGATTGTCGCTAGGGTACCTCGCGCACGTTTGGTAACCTAATATGCACTGAAATAAAAAGGTAACAGGGATTACATTAAATCAGCAGGACGTTAAAGGCAGGTAACAGCCACAAACCTCCGGCGAGTCCTCACAGTAGGAATCTGCAGGAAGATGTTAAGGAAAAAAAAGACTTGTTACCACTGACCCAGGAAACTGGTCCATCCAAAACAATGACAATCTAATGGGGCGTATCACATATCACAATAAAATTATGAAATCCTTTTGGGGATTAAAAAAACAATTTAGTCACAGTTCTCTAGTCAGGGCTGAATTTGCATGCCAGGTGCCTGTACGCAAAGAACTCTAAGGCGCACCCTGCTCCCCACCTAACAGCCCCCCTAAAAAGGCAAATAAAGTGAGATTCATTAATGTATTTATTTATTTATTTTTGCTGTGCAAATGAATACATAGAATCAAGCTTACGTTGCCACAACAGCAGTAGTAAGCATGTACAAGCGAAGACATATTCATGGCATTTGCTGTAACTGCACAATTTTTAAGAAAAGAAAATAAACAGCAGGTCAGATTCTGTCAGTAATCAGGTGAGAGATCATTATATAAATTAAGCTGTGCTAACTGACAGTATTAGTAGCAGGAGTATCACTAGGAATCAGGATATGAGAAGGGGAAGCTAACAGCAGAAGACAGAATATAGGTATAGATGATTTCTGCTACAATAAGTGAGGTGGTGCCCTCGGTACAAAAGGATGTTGTCAGGCTGAATCACCCTATACCACATGCAGGCCAAAATAGTGAGTCCCACTACATGCCAGAGTTATTGTCCCCTCTCTCCATTTCCAGATGAGATGAATTAATTTATTAACTCCTTGACATTGCAGGCATTAAAAAAAAATAATAATCTAAAAGCGTATTCAAATTTGTCAACTGTAAATGTATGTATGTATGTATGCATTGTGTTTGAATTTGTGATTATAGTGCGAGCAT